CGTAACTCAAATTACTCTATCAACTCAATGCAAAAAATCAGCGGAGAGACAGCTGGTATCTCAAAAAACTCGTTAGTCGGGACACTCGTAAGTCAAGGCCCCACTGTATTATACTGAACTGAACATTCCCACCCCTTAGTTTCAACACTCACAATGAGTCCTTTCAGCTGTACCCTCATCCACTCCTCCTGTCGAGATTATTTATTGCAAAGCAAACTCCAGATTTCACTTCATCCACAAATGTTCATCGTGCGTTTCTAAAAGAAGGTCTTTTAGCCCTAGCTGGTTTGGCTCAGTGGATAGAGTGTGGGCCTGCAGACTGAAGGGTCCCAGGTTTGATTCTGGTCAAGGGCACATGCCCCGGTTGTGGGCTCGATCTCCAGTAGAGGGCAGCAGCCAATCAATGATTCTCTGTCATCATTGATGTTTCTATCTCTATCCCTCTCCCTTCCTCTCTGAAATCTATAAAAATATATTAAATAAATAAATAAAATAAAAAAAGAATGTCTTTTAAAGGCCTAATCACCATACCAGTACCCTCTTAAATATAATTAACAGTAATTCCTCAATATCAGTAAATATCAAGCCAGTTTTCACACTCTCATGGTCCTTCCTCTCTCACATCCCACCCTCCGCCCCCCACCCCTTCCTTTCTCACATCTCACCCTCCCAACCCCCCACTTCCACCCTTTGGGCTTCTTCTTGTGACAATGATAGAGGCCCATATAACAACTGCCCCATTGGGCACAGTAGGCACAGTGCCTACACCCCAGAATATTTGTAGGAGCTCACAAAAAGATGTTTCAGTTCTTTTTAAATGAGAAGAAAAAAATGGACATTTAGTTAAAAATGCTTTTATATATATTGTGAATATGTCCATCTTTATACCAATGCAATCACAAAATATAATTTTTACTATTATTTTAAAAAAGAAAAGACCCAGAAAGGCAAAAGTGCCCAGGGCCCGTGAGCATCCTGAGGCAGCCCTGTACCTGACTTCTCCTTTTAGGTCCTCCAAAGGCGTCCTCTAATCTAAGTTCCAGAATTGCACACACAAGTCTCCACTCTCCTCTCCCAGGGTTCTCTACATCCGCAAAGGGCTCACTGGTGTGTAAGTAAAGGTCACCCAAGTGAGCACACACCAGGCTGTGTACTCAGAGCTTGCTTATGAAACAAGATTGGGAGTTCGCTGCCATCACTTGCATTTGACGGGGCTCAAAGGCAGACCGAGGAGCGGGAAAGCTCCACAGTGCGGCCAGGGCGGCAGGATCTGGTGAGAGGCTGTTGATGGGGAAGTTGGAAGAGGGCTAAACAGAAGCAGGGAATCTTATGTGACTGGCTAAAGGAGTCTATTTGGCTTTTTGTTGGCACTGGGGGCAAAAAATAGTCACCAAGAAGGACCATTGACCAAATCCCGGGCATTCTGGGCTGACTGCTACAGAAGATGTGAGTCAGAGTTCTACTGTCACGTGTGGCCTGGCCACTGTCCATTTATATATTCAAGCGCTCAAAACCAATCTTGTTTCATAAGCTAGAAGTCAGAAATTACCTCTCTACCTTCCATCCAAACCATCACCAAATCCTATAAACGTTTCCCTCCCACATATTTCTCAAGTCTGTCACTTTCCATCGGCACCAGGGTGCCACCTAACTGCCTTCACCTTTCATCTGATCTGCTAAATAGCCTCCTAACTTGGTCTACCTCCTCCACTGCCTCCTTCCCAATTATTTGTCAAAGTAGTTTTTCAAAAGGCAACCCTGATCACATCATCCCTGTAATTACATCGAGGACTCACAGTGGTTTTAAGATACAGACTTTAAAGTGGCCTCCAGGGCCTCTCCTGGTCTGGCTCCCATCCTTCTGCCGCCTCCTCCATCACACAAGCCCTTTTGCCTTTCAGTTTGAGTCACAGGGTCCATCTTCCAGTCTCCGGCACATCCGCTCACCTGTCACGGGGGAGGTACTGGAAGGCTGTGGGCAGCTCCAGCGACACAGGTAGCAGGAGCAATATGAAGTCTCATCAGGGCACCACTTCTGGGTAACATCAGCTCCCACTACGCCCTGCCCCTGGTGCCATGCTGCTTAAGACCCTAAGCCCTGGGGGACAGTTCAAAGGGCTTGGCTGGCTTGGGTCATATGCCCATCCCTTAGCCAGAACACCTTAAACAAAAGTCTCAATAAAGCATTAAACAATGAAGAGAAAGTAACTTCCCAAAATGAAAATGGGAGTTCTTAGCAGAAAGAAGAGGAATGAGTGGGGGTGGGCCCCCCAAATCAGCAAATTGCCCACTAAACACATGCTCCCACTACCTGGACTGACTCTCTGCCCCCTCTTTGGTTAGTTAACCCTACTCCATTCTCAGATTCCAGCCCAATTGTCTCTTCACTTAAGATGCTTTCTCTCATCTTCCCATGGGAGTCAAAGGTCTCTATTCTGTCCTTTCCTAGTACTATAACCTCTCCTTTATAGCACTTTAAAATTGCCACTGCAGCAATTTTACATTTATTTGTTAGTGTTGGAATTACATACATCACTCCCAATTGACTAAACAGTCCATGAGAGCTGAGCCCATGTTTGTTTGGCTTACAGTGGTGTCTTCAGTGCCTAGCACAGTACCTGGCAAAGTGAAGATACTCAACAAGCATTTATTTAATGTATGAATCAAGCCATAAAGAGATTTGTTTTCCCAGTGAGATAAAGTATGCCATTCCCTCCTTAGAAGGCAAATGTAGCTAAATTTTTAACAATTTTTTCTATTCATAGTTTAGTAGATAATGTTCTTAAATATAATTTAATCTATACAACAATGTATAGATTTAATCTATAATAATGCAGTAGGAACCCACTTTATACATAAAGAAAGGGAGGCACAAGGAGTTAGGGAATTTGTTCAAATCACATCTCTGGTAAATGATTCATGGGGAATACAAACCCAGGTCTGTCTGATTCCAAAAGTCAAGTTTGAAACGATATAGCATTGCCTCTCCATAACACTAGTTATCTTCTAACACAAAAGCCTTAGAGACAGAGCTCATTCATCTGTAAAATTCGTTTTTAAATAAGAGGTTTCCATGTTTAACATGTAAGAGGTTCTGCCAGCTCCAGGACCCATTTCCATGTAAATCCAGATATGTCATAAAAGTTAGTTTAATTTGTAAAATACTGATCCCTGGAGAGAATAAAATAAACTAAATAAAAAACTCTGGGCAAATGCAATTTGACAGAGAACTATAACTCTTTTCCTGTCATCCTACCTAATAAAGAGGTAATATGCAAATTGACCATCACTCCAACACACAAGATGGCCACCACAAGATGGCCTGCAGGGGTGGGCAATTGGGGACAACCAGACCTGCAGGGGAAGGTTGGGGGTGATGACCAGGCCTGCAGGGGAGGGCAGTTAGGGGTGACCAGGCCAGCAGGGGAGGGCAGTTAGGGGTGACCAGGCCTGCAGGGGAGGGCAGTTGGGGGTGACCAGGCCAGCAGGGGAGTGGTTAGGGGTGATCATGCTGGCAGGCAAAAGCAGTTAGGGGCAATCAGGCAGGCAGGCGAGCCATTGGGAGCCAGCAGTCCTGGATTGTGAGACAGATGTCCCAGATTGGAGAGGGTGCAGGCTGGGCTGAGGGATACACACATCCCCTGTGCATGAATTTCATGTACCGGGCCTCTAGTTTATGATAAATGATAAATGACACTAAGCATGAGCAAAGGAATGGTAATTGGTGGAGGTGTGATCATTTAGCAAGGGAGGGGAAGGGCCAGCCCTCGGGCCATGAAAGGCCAAGAATTCATTTGGTGTGACCCTGCCAAGACATTAGGGGTGAGTTAATGAAATGTTTGAATATAGCAGGCTAATTTTTAAGTTGATAAGTTTGTATGGCCCACAAATGATATTATAAATATCCAAAGGACCCTCAGCAGAAAAAAAGGTTTCCCATCCCTGATTTAAGGTAACCTGTTCCCTAAATTTCACCTACAGATTATACAAAGCATTGAGACATCTTCAAACGAGTTCCACTATTTCAGTGTTATTTCTCGGAAATGAGGGGAGGTTGGACAAGTAACACAAAGACTGTCTTTAATTCTTAGGACTCATGAGAGAAGGGACCCAGGCGAGATCAGCTACTGGGGAATGTGGATTTCACTGGGACGAGGAAGCAAAACCGGCCAATAGAAGGCAGAGTGTTTCTTCAGTTCAGCCACCACAACCAGACAGCCAAGATGCTTGTGAGAAGGTAGTAAGGATAAGGCAGGCTATCTCTTTTATTGCTAGAGTCCCCAAACCTGTGTGACACGTGATTCCAGCCCCCAGCAGCAATTGCTGTTGAAGGTCCACGCGGTGTTCCCTGGAGATCTCATATGTTTTTGAGGTTGTGGGGTGAATACAGATGGACAGTATCAGAGTAGGGAATTAAGTCATCTAATGTCTTCTAGATACACAACTAGAGAGTAAGAGATATAGGTTTCCATGTTTAACGTGTAAGAGGTTCTGCCAACTCCAGGACCCTCGGAGAACATTGCGCTTTCAGAGCAGCTGGCTTGACTTTGAAGACCTCTGGATCATAGTACACAATGTGCATAGGAGTCCTGGAATGGGGGGAAAAGAACCCAACCTGAGGCAAGATGAACAGAAAGTGGAGCTAACATTTCTCAAGCATCCCCTCTGTGCTAGGCACGGTGATACGATCCTGTTTTAATTTTCATAAGCCTCCCATGAAACAGGCATCATGACCCCCACTACACAGATAAGGAAATGAAGGCTTGGGAAAGTTGTGAGAATGACCTGTGGTCAAATCCAGATTAGTGTACCAGTCAGATTCCAAAGCCTTTGCTCTTTCCACAAAAAGTAAATTCTGGAAATTTCTTAATAATTTGGCAATGTTAAAACAAGCCAGACAGTCCTCTGGTGGACTTAAATCAAAATTTTTGAAGTTTCCACCCTTTGCACCTTCCCACTGAGTATTAACTTTAGAGAAAGGACCTAGAGCACTTGGTCTAACTCTTCCCTTCCCTTTGTCAAGGGGCAGGGAATAAGCTTCATTTCATTTGGTGCTGAACTTTATTTTTTAAGGCAAAACACCTTATAAAAATTTTTAAATATTATGTTATATAAGAACTAACATATTTCCTGTTCCCTGGGCTCAGGAGTTCTACAACTTTCTTCAGTGCCTCCAGATTTTCCTGATGATGCTTAAAAAGGAGATCAAGTATTATCATGTGAATGCAACAAAATGAATTGAGGTTCAGGCGAGTTAGAGGTCTTCTAAAAAATAAACAGGCTCTCTGCCACTTGCCGCTGCGTCGGTCCCAAGCCCAGCTCCTTCTGTGCCCAGGACAGCAGGAAGCCTGAGTGGAAGGTGACCTCTAACCAGACACACCCGCTGCAGATCACCCTCAAGAAGACAGCGGACCTCGAGGGACCTCTTGTAATCCTCCTAATGCTGCTGACTTTCGGCCCTTGCATCATTAACAGACTAGTCCAATTTGTCAAGACAGGCCTCTAGCAACAGTGAAATAGAAATGCAGTCCGTCTCATGATTGAGCCGGAAGTTCCAAGACAAAGGGGGGAATGAAAGGGCGAGGGCTACGCCCTCCATCTTGCCCCAAATCCTCCATTTTGGGGCAGCAGCCATGTGCTCAGCAAGAAGCTTCTCCCCGGAAGCCCAAGCCTCTGCTAGCCACACCTAGGATTTCTTTAAACTAACTAATGATAATCAAGGGAAGTGCACACCATAGATATGACCACATCCTGTGTAACGAGACACCTACTTGTGCCTGGCCAATCGGCAGGGCCCACAGTCTTCTCTCCTCCCCTTACTATAAAACCCCTCTCCCCACAGGGCTGGCTCTCTCTGCCACTTGCCGCTGCGTCAGTAAGGAGGGTAGGGGAGCCAAGCCTGGGTTTGAATAAAGACTCTTATGCTTTTGCATCGGAAAAAAAATAAAAATAAAATAAACAGAGCTCAGCCAGCATAGCTCAGTGATTGAGTGTTGACCTATGAACCAGGAGATCATGGTTTGAACCAGCTGATCAATGATTCTCTCTCATCATTGGTGTTGCTCTCTCTCTCCCAGCCTCTTCCTCTCTGAAATTAAAAAAAAAAACAACTCACATTTCTGCCATTCTCTCTTCCTTTAAGTTGACATACCTTGCACTTGGATTAGCTAGTTCTTCAATTCTGGGAGATATTTTGGAATGTGTAGCAGCATAAGAGACTGGCCAGTAGGGATCACGGTGAGGTATATAATCTTGATGAAGAGTTTTGGCCTTAGCTAGAAATACTGTTCGAGGGCTAGGTGTAGTTAGCAAGGCAGCTTGGGTTATCTACAGTGGAAACAAAAAGACACAAAAATATATCCCCAAATTTACCACACATCCCTCTCTTTACAACTATATCCCTGATTCAGTCACCACCATTTCTTTCCTGGATTCCTACAATAGACTCCTAACCAGTTTCCCTGCTTTCATTCTTACCCCTGGACAATCCAGCATTCACATAGCAGTTACTGAGGAAAGAATGAACGCTTTAATGAGGGCATTCCAGGAGCCAGACAGTGTTCTAAGTCATTAACCTATGTCATTGCTACTTAATCATCATAACAACTCCATGAGGTAAGTACTTTCTGAAGCTCAAGTCAGATCATGCCACTCCCAGGGTTTAAAACCTCTGGTGCAGTGGTTCTCAACCTTCCTAATGCCGCGACCCTTTAATACAGTTCCTCATGTTGAGGTGAACCCCAAATTCATTGTTACAAATTGAACATAATTAAAGCATAGTGATTAATCACAAAAACAATAATGTAATTATATATGTGTTTTCCGATGGTCTTAGGCGACCCCTGTGAAAGGGTCATTTGACCCCCAAAGGGGTCGCGACCCACAGGTTGAGAACCGCTGCTCTAGTGGATCCCCATTCTGCTAAAAATAATACTTGGGCTCCTTCCTGTGGCCCAGAAGGCCCTACCAGATGGGCTGCAACCCCACTCCCTACCTTGATTATTATGAGGCCCCTCCCATGATCACACAACTCCCCTCTGGCCTAGCCCTTTCCACATCAGGGCCTTTGCACTTGCTAGTTCTGCTTGAATTCCCCTTTCCTCAATCTTGTTATGGCTGCTCTTCGTCACTCAAGTCTCTGACTCAACCATGTATGGTTAGGACTTCTTCCCTAGCCATACAAACAAATCAGTCTTACTAATTACCCTCTTCCACAGTACTAATTTTCCTACAGCACTTACCAACACCTGGCTTAGTTCACTTATCTCGTTGATATGTTTATTGTGTGCTTCGTCCCCTTAGAATATAAGCTGCTTGAGAGAAGTACAGCAGGTCCTCAGATAATGTTTCATTATAGCGTTGATGACAAGCCTAGGAAGTTAACTCTTGTTTATGCCAATTAGCCTAAGGTAAAATTGGTTTGGTTATATGCCATGTTGCTTGAGGTCACAGAAACTATCAAAATGGTAAGTGAGAACTTACTATACTTTTTTGTCGAAAGCTGGAATAGACTCTGGTGCCTAATTGGTGCTGAATCAATTCCCTCTGGTCTTACTTTGAAAGTCCCATTTGCCAGGTTGCCTTTTTATTATGTTGCTTTATCGGTAAAATAGGAAGGATGTCATATAATCTCTTTCTTAAGTGCTCATTGAAAAGAATTGGGATGGACAACAAACACCACGCAGTACCCCTGAAAGTGTTCTGTGTTGCAATGGGACAGATTTGTTTTGGGTTCTCCATGTATGATTGTCTGCAGTGGTATCACTTGTTAAAAAGATTTTCTTAACACTCCTTCAAACAGTTCTAGCAATTAAAGAAAGATGCCTATAAGTCTCACTTTACATCCCCCAAAACTGAGAATAAAGTGATTTGCCCGAGGGTCGGAAGGTCACGTTAGCAAACTTAAGACATTCTCCCAAGGGTTTTTAATACCCAGATTCGTTTTTATTTCCCAAATAGAATTCCATATCAAATCCTCAGATTCTGAGGAAGAGGGTGAAATTGGCCTCACATCCTTGGATAGCATAATCCTTAGATATTTACTGAAAACTCGACTGGGATTGGGCACCAAGTTGCCACTGCAGTGAATGGAGAAGGGTGTCCAGGAGGAAGAGCAAGGGAAGCTCCCGAACGTGAAGGGCGGGCTCTGTGCTGAGCGAGGGCCTTCTCTATTTTTGCAGGTCATTAACAGTCGTGCAAATGGGAACTGTTATCTTTACAGTCCCCTGGTTCCTCTTGCTACACCCAACTTCAAGGTCATCCCAGCTTTGGGACCCAGCTTTAGTACTCTTCCCTTTACTAAAATACTCTCTTTCCGGATCTTCACTTAGCTAACTCCATCTCATCATTCAGGTTTCAGCTCAAATATACCTTCCTCAGAGAGGCTTTCCCTGACTACCATCTGCGAAGTAGCTTGTCCCCATAATCACTCACTTCCTACTTTATTTTTTTCATTGCACTTTTCACTACCCAACCTTATCTTACTTGTTTACCTATTTTTTCTGTGTTTGTTTCTCTCCATCTTGTTCACTGGGAACAGTGTCTGGCACACAGTAGACATTCAAATACTTGTTGAATGAACAAGGCTCGGGGAGGTTGTCACAACATCATAGAGCTAGAGTGGCAAGGCTGTAATTTGCACCCAGCTCTCTTACTGGCTCCAAAGTTCATGCTCCTCACCCTTTACCCCCCAGGCCCTCTCCATATCTGGCAGGTAAGTCTTCCTGCCACAGACTTCTCTTTCAAGATTCCCTTTAGCAATGACTTTGGCCAATGCCCTGTAGGGGGGAAATAGCACCATAGGAACAACCAGAAAGTGAGCTGAGGGATGGCAAGGCAGTGATGGCTTACGGGACGGATGGGCACATCAGTTTTTTCTCTTGGATAGCACAGACCCTCTATCTTGATCTTTGGACAGGCAAGGTCTATAATTCTTGGAGTTGCAACAGCATGCAGGGCAGGAGCTAAAATCTTGGTTTCAATCTAGAGGAGAAAAATAAAACAGTACCTGTAAGCATAAAATAATAAACACCATCTCGATCAAGATGACAGAGTAGCGCCCTGACCGGTTTGGCTCAGTGGATAGAGCATTGGCCTGTGGACCGAAGGGTCCCAGGTTCGATTCCGGTCAAGGGCATGTACCTTGGTTGCAGGTACATTCCCAGTTGGGGACGTGCAGGAGGCAGCTGATCGATGTTTCTAACTCATCGATGTTTCTAACTCTCTATCCCTCTCCCTTCCTCTCTGTAAAAAACCAATAAAATATATTAAAAAAAAAAAGATGACAGAGTAGGTCTGACCTCTGGACCAGACTTCCCGGCAAATTCAGCAGAAAGAATAACCACAATCATAGCTGAAGGATCAATGCCCATCTTTCTCAAACTAGTTGTACAGATTCCAACTCAAATTTTCAGGAACTTAAAGATGTGGAGGAAATGGCCGTGGTGCATGTTGTCTAAGAAATACATAGTAGCCCTAACCGGTTTGGCTCAGTGGATAGAGTGTCGGCCTGCGGACTGAAGGGTCCCAGGTTCGATTCCTGTCAAGGGCATGTACCTTGGTTGCGGGTGCAACCCCAGTAGGGGGTGTGCAGGAGGCAGCTGATCGATGTTTCTCTCTCATCGATGTTTCTAACTCTCTATCCCTCTCACTTCCTCTCTGTAAAAAAATCAATTAAATATTTTTTTAAATGTTTAAAAAGAAAAAAAAGAAATACATGGTAATGCTGGTGAATGGAGTGGTAAACTCAGCCAAGAGGGAAGGCCCGGCCCCACCACACACATGAGGCGCTGTAAGGGGCACTGTACGTTTTTTCTTAACTACTTTTGCCCTTTGGAAATTGGGACTCGCACTATCACAGATCCCCATGTTTCAAGTACATGTTAGTGGCTCTCTTCTAAGTCAAACAGAGACAAAAGAGAAACCAAAGCCAGGAGGAAGGAGGCAGAACCGCATATCTCCATGGAGAATGTTGTTCTGGTCTTAATTGTGGAAATATGTTCAAACTCATGGTTTTCTATTTAAATTAGTTGTACTCGAACTCAAAATTTACCATGAGACTTTGAGGTGGAATATAATCATTAACTGGAAATAAAATACAGTTTTATCTTTTCACTGTGGGTGGAAAAATAATACAAAGGTATGCCCTAATCCCTTCTTGTGTTGTTTAAAATGATGATGATACTAACACTGACAGTACTCGACACTTATTAATTAATTTATTCTTCACCTGGGGTATCATTTTTATTTCATTTCATTGAAATACTTGAGAAACCAAGGTACTTTGAAGTTCAGCAGTTTATTTAAGTTTACATAGTTAGTAAGTGGCAGAGCTGGGATTCAAACTGAAGGTCCTGTCATTATAACACCATGAAATACTAATTAAGCATTGTAAATATTTCCTATGAATTAAGCTTTGTCTCCTATCAGGCTCTGGGAAAATCAGAGAAATATATGATAACCACTGCTTTCAGTTAAGGCCTACAGTTGAAAAAAATAAAACAATCATTTATTAATTTAATTCATTAGACAAATATCTCTTAATCAATTATATTATGTAAGATACAACAAGGAATAATTAAACAATCCCTTTCTCTTTTTTTCTTATCTTTATTGTTGAAAGTATTACATAGGTCTTCCCTTTACCCCCATTAGAAACAATCCCTTTCTTAAAGTAATTTTCCATTGATTTTTTTTTTTTTCAGAGAGAGTGGAAGGGAGAGGAAGAGACAGAGAGAAACATTGATATGAGAGAGACACATCGATTGGTTGCCTCCCGCACACCCTCAACCAGGGCAGGAAGCCTGCAACCAAAGTATGTGCCCTTGACCAGAATCGAACCCGGGACCCTTCAGTGCACAGGCCGATGCTCTATCCATTGAGCCAAACTGGCTAGGGCATCTTAAAGTAATTTTCAACTTAGAAGAAACCATGTCCTATAGGCAAATCATTTGATACCAGTAAAAGAGAATAAATAAAACTTTGAGGGATATCAGAGGAAGAGTGGGAAAAGCCAAGAAGGATTCCCTTGTTAGGATAAAGAAACATTAGATTGGACCTTGAAGGAAGTAGAGAGAGGAGGAAAGATAGGGAGATAAAGAAAGGATAATGGGAAGGAAAATCTCAGCATAGAGGCAAGGAAGCATGGAGCAGATGGTCTCTGGTTATGCAGGGAGACCAGGCTTGTGAATGCATTTGTAACTAGATTAGATGTGGGGGCGGGAGCATTCTTCATAGCCAGAAGAGAACCATCAAGTCTAGTATTATTATTACTAGAGGCCCGGTGCACGAATTCCTGCACGGGTCTGGTCTGGCCGGCCCGCCTCCATCAGGGCCCATGGGGGGAGGGACCCAGGGAGGTTGGCCAGATGGCCCTGCCCCCTGGTTGAACTCCCAGTTGAGAGGACAATTTGAATATTAGCCTTTTATTATAAAGGATTATTATTAGTATTATTAGTATTATTATTGTTGGTTTTAGAGAGGAGGGAAGGGAGAGAGAAATCTCAATTTGTTGTCCCACTTATTTATGCATTCATTGGCTGATTCTTGTGTGTGCCCTGACCGTGTATCGAACCCACAACTTTGGCATATTGAGACGATGCTCTAACCAACTAAGCTATCTGGCCAGGGCCATCAAATATTTATATTAGAAAGTAAGCATGATCAGAGCTGGAGATTAATCTATTAAGCATGTGTGAGAAGGTAACTGCTAAATACAAAAGTAAGAGTTTTAAAAGTCAAAATCTACCAAAATCAACGATTTTAAAAATTCAACCAGGTTGATTAGTCTGAGTAGGAGCTTCTGATATCCGTAAATAGAGAATAAGTGAGCTAGGAAACCAACCCCTTTTCTAAGCTGTATAGTCCTGACAATGTTACTATAGAAAGAAATTTAGGATGACATTCACAGAGGTGACAGGACTTCCTACAGTTCATCCATCCAAAGTCTGGTGGCAAATAACCCCAGGTGCCTGTGATAGTAACTTGGCTTCCTTTGTGGGCATGTATTATTTTTATTAATTTTTAAATATTATTTTTATTGATTTCAGAGAGAGATAGAAATATCAATGATGAGAGAGAATCATTGATTGGCTGCCTCCTGCATGCCTCCTACTAGGGATTGAACCCACAACCCAGGACCCTTCAGACTGAAGGCTAACGCTCTATCCACTGAGCCAAACTGGCTAGGGCAGGAACGTATTATTTTTAAGCTCTAGGAAGATTTAGAATTAACTGTAAAAATCCCTAAGAGAATCAAAATGATTAAGATTAATGGTTGTGTTAAGAATAAGTATGTATAAAAATTGATGAAATTTGAACATGGACCATGAAGTGAGTATAGTATTATATCAATGTTAAATTTCCTGATCTTGATATTAGCATTATAGTTATACTAGGGGCCCAGTGCACAAATTCGTGCACCCTGAAAAGAACTGTGGGCCACGAGGCTGTGGTGGGCACAGGGGCAGATCTCGGCCCATTCTCGGGTGAGGATTAACAAAACAAAACAACCAAAAAACTACAGGTTCACCAAAATTATAAGTTTAATGTGTTAGATTTTTAAATAATCATTTGATTCTTGAGAAGGTTTTGTTTGCTAATGTAGATGACTGAAATGAAATATTTTAAAAATAAATCAAATTTAATGTACTTATAAAGTATTTGACGGTATTTAATTCAGTTTGAAACCAAATCAAACACTCAGGACTCTTAAAGTAATTGTTAAAAACTGCTAGAATTATAAACAGAATAATAAAACTTCCCAGCTAAACTTAAATGTATAGCCTAAGAAAGAAATAGATTTTTTAAAATATGGAATTTTAAAAATTAACTATTAATTATTTAAGTCAAGAGCATACCTCTGAACATTCTTTTCTGCATACACAAACCATGCTGGAGGATACCAAAAGACTCACATCATTGGGAGTGGCAGTGTTCTTTCCCTACAACGCTGTAAATTCCTTGCCACCTCTCTCATGGAAAGGTGGGGTTTGTGTCCCTGCCCCCTTGAATCTGGCCAGACTTGTAACTGCATCAATCAACAGAGTATGACTGCAGTGACATCATGTGTCTCGCAAGGCCAAATCATAAAGAAACCATGCAGCTCCCACCTGGTTCTTTTGGAATGCTCACCCTTGGGAATTCCAAGTTGGCTATTCCTTCTCAGAATATAGCTGCTATGCTGAGAGGTCTGAGCCACGTGGAGAGACCATATGAAGGTGCTTCTGTATATACTAGAGGACTGGTGCATGAAATTCAGGCACGGGGCGGGGAGGGGAGGCGGGGGGTGTCCCTCAGCCCGGCCTGCACCTTCTCCAATCTGGGATCCCTTTCACAATCCAGGACTGCTGGCTCCTAACAGCTCGCTTGCCTGTCTGCCTGATTGGCCCTAACCATTTCCACCTGCCAGCCTGATCACCCACAACTGCCCTCCCCTGACAGCCATCTTGTGGTAGCCATCTTATGGCTGTCATCTTGTGACAACGTGAGGGCGGCCATCTTGTGATGACATTGCGTGAGGGTGTTGCACCACCTAGGCTTTTATTATATAGGATTCCCAACTGAGGCTAGCCTTCAAGTCATTCCAGCCTAGGTACCACAAATAGGTATTCTTTTTTAAATTTTTTTAAATTGATTTCACAGAGGAAGGGTGAGGGAGAGAGAGAAACATCAGCAAGAGAGAATCACTGATCAGCTGCCTCCTGCACGCCCCCTACTGGGGATCAAGCCCGCATCCCAGGGATGTTCCCTGACTGGGAATTGAACTGTGACCTCCTGGTTCATGGGATGATGCTCAACCAACTGAGCCACGCGGGCTGGGCCAAATATGTATTCTTACTGACTAAATGTTTATGTCCTCCCCCCTACCCTGAATTCAATTGAAACCTTACCCTCAACTGTGATGCTACTAGAAGTGGGGTCTTTAGAAGATAATTAGGTTTAGATAAGGTCTTGAAGGTGGAGCCCTCATAATGGGTTTAAGGTCCTTCTAAGAGGAAGTAGAGAGATCAGAACTCTCCGCGTGCTCAAAAGGTGGCTGTTACCCCTAAGGAAGGGCCCTTGTCAAGAAGAGAATCCACTGGCACCTTGATCTTGGATTTCTCAGCCTCCAGAACTGTTGTTTAAGCCATCCAGCCTCGGGCATTTTGTCATAGCAGCTTGAGATGACTAAGACAGGTGTGAAGGAGCCTTCAGATGTTTCCAGCCCCGACCACTTCAGGCACTTGAGCCATTAGAAATATCCCAGCTGAGACCCCAGACATCGCGGAGCAGAGACGAGCCTGCTTGCCCTGTCAGAATTTTTGACCCATCAAATCCTTGAGCGCAATGAAATGGCAGTGGTCTTATGTCACGAAGTTTTTGGGGTGGTTTGGTACGAAGCAACAGGTAACCAGATCAGAACTTTAAAGATGGGTTCTCTGCATCAGTTTTAGATAATCTGTCATTTGTTTTCTGAGATGATTAGATTGAAAGGTATTAAAACCTCTTGCCAGTGATTTAAAAAAAAAAAAAGACACTAGTAATCCATGGCATGTGGTGGCAAAACAGAAAGCAAGACTTTGAGTGACCACGCAGCAGAGACCATTTTAGTGAAATAAAAAAGTATAGTGGGGTCAGTTGGTTGCTTCTAAGTGCACTTGAGGAAAGAGATGATCAGCTGAAGCCTTTAAAGTCCCACCTGAAGGTGTGGGTAAGTGACCAGAACGTTTCTATGGCTTACTTAATAAAAACCCTATCTTCTCTGGTTACATGGCTGAAAATCAAACTCAAAGTCTACTTCTACACATGGGTGAATTACAGTGCAAATTGAATTCCCAAACTTGTATGGTCTCCCATATTAAAGTTAGGGTAATGATCAGGAAGAAATGGAACCTTGAACATTGGAATAGGGACATATGTGCTGAGTCCAATGAGGCTGGGGGTTTAAAACCCCTAAATACCACTGAGCCTTCCTTACCAATAGAATCCGCCCTTCCTCCCCTGCCTGGGAAGGTTAGACTCCCCCTTGCTTGTAGAACCTGTAATGGTGTCCCCTGAAGTAAAAACCTTTCAGGGAACTGCTGACCTACCTCTATCTCTCATTGCTTCCAGATCTATAACCAGACCCAAGTTCCAGGTAGCATAATAGCCTTTCATAGATTTCTCTATCTGCTTCTCTATCCTTATTGCTTAAGGTCTAATTCTGCATTACTCATAGTGGTTCTGCTTTTCTGATCAAATCCGACTGATGCATAAGGCACAGGGAGGCAGCCAGAAAAGTTCATTTGATGAGAGAAGAATATGAAAACACACACCTAGAAATAAAAGGGGAGCATGTTACAGTTACAAACGTGTTTCACGTTACGAAGTCCATCAGGAAATGGTTCTTTCCCATGGACCCACTTACATCTTTTGGAGGAACATAGTCTGGACTGAGGCCTTTGGCTATTGAGAGTCGTAATATCCGGGGAGAAGGAGCACAGACTGGAAGAGAACCTCTTGTTAAGTAATCACTGAGGGACCTATACGCAAATGGAATGTAAAATATTATCATTAGAGGAACAATAACTGCATTTTTGATGGCTATAATCAACCTCCCACAATTATATATATTGTTTCTAACTTTGGAACATCTTTTCCTATAATCATTAGTGCTCTTTCTACCAGACTGGTGTTTCTAGAATTTTTTTACTTTGATCTACAGTAAGAAGTACATTTTATATTGTGATACAGTATATGTAAATCTCTATATCTGAAACAAAATTATCATGAAACAATGCTTGTCCTAGGCAATGTATTCTGATTTTTAAATTTCATTTGATTTCATTAAAAGAAAAGATGGAATTAATTTCATGATCCACTGGTTGCTGAAGACTTGCAGTTTTAACATTATTATTCATGGTAATAGTATTATGTGGATTCCTTAAGATTTCCTCTGTGTTTTCACTAAGCATTTGCTCTCCTTCCCTCACAAAATTTTGACAAGCTTGCTTATCTGTTTGCAGTGCACAGAATATCAAAAAAGAGCCTGGTTAAAGACTATTCCCCCAGTAAAAAGAGAAATGACGGGAAAACTCCGAGAGGCAAATATCTCCTAAACTAAAAGCACTGAGGTCAGACTACTTCACTTAAATAAAAACTGTGCTTCATACTCAGACAATTCCTAAGAAGTTTTCTGTATTAAAGTATTATGTTGTAGTTGGTGTTCATAATAAAGATCTCAAGCCAGTGCCAGTGAACAATGCTTACATATTGTTCAGTAGCAGAAGAATTTGCTTAGGAGAGTGGGGAGACATAAACATTTTTAATCTATTTTTTTATTGATTTCAGAGTGGAAGGGAAAGGGAGAGAGAGATAGAAACATCAATGATGAGAGAGAGAGAGAGAGAGAGAGAGAGAATCATTGATCGGCTGCCTCCTGCATGCCCCCTCTTGGGGATCAAGCCCGCAACCCTGGCATGTGCCCTCGACTGGAATCGAACCTGGGACCATTCAGTCTGCAGGCCTACACTCTATCCACTGAGCAAAACCAGCTAGGGCCATAAACTTTTTAAAATACAGGAAATTTTAACACTCAAGGAGGTTTTACTTATATGAAACATCAAACTCAGGAGTCTCAAAAAGTAGTGACAGCCCAGCCGATGTGTTCAGTGGTTGAGCATCGACCTATGAACCAAGGAGGTCCTGGTTCAATTCCCTTGCTTCCTGAAATCACATATATATATTAGAGTGGTCACAGATAAAGAAAGTATTCCTCTGGTTTATAAATGTAGATATATAACTACAAATTACATATATATTTTAACTAAATTAGCAGATTTTGTCAAATGAACTGATAAATAAGCAAACGAAGAAATTTTGTGGGAGGACTTGAGCCTCTTTTGCTGGATTCTATGAAGGAAAAAGACAAGTTGACCATTTCAACCTCTCTAACTGCAGGAATCTTTATTAAAACCAACATAGAGTGATGGATCGTTGTAGCCTACGCTTGAACACGTTCAGGAATTGGAGTGGAGATGACAGTTGAGTTTTCCAGGTAAAACTTTCCACTACTGGATAGCTCCTCAGGAAGGTTTTCCTACACTTAGCTGACGTCTGCTACTCTGTAAATACCTAGTTCAATTTCTATTTCTAGGATCAACAGAAAGTAATGTTACTTCCACCTCCTCTGCCTCTTTCAGGTGCTGACCTTTCACACAGAACCATCACTGCTTCCGTGGTCTCTTCTCTAAGCTAAACATGTCATTTCTCTGAACTATTTTTCATATAACATAGTTTTCAGAAGCTCAACGCCTCATTTATCTCCTTCTGGACATTCTCAAATTTATTATGTTTCTTTTTTATTTTTCAATTACAGTTTTACATTCAATATTAGTTTCAGGTGTACAGCATAGTGGTTAGACAATCATATCCTTTGCAAGGTGATCCCTCTGATACTTCAAGTACCCACCTGGCACCATGCACAATTATTGCAATGTTATTGACTACATTCCCTATGCTGTATTTTACATTCCCAGGACTATTTTGTGACTACCAATTAGTACTTGTTAATCTTTTTCACCCAGCCCCCCAACCCTAAGGCATAGCATCCATAATTGGACACATATACCTAATGTGTTCTGACTACCGTAGTGCACATTAGTTCTATCACCTTCCTGTAATTATACACTGTAATATTGCACTAATGTAACCTAAAATTTTCCAACAACCACGTCAGAATCTTAGCTCCCTTGTGGAAAATATCACGAAGCTGACTTCTAAAGACAGGAGAAAGTCAGCATTCAAAGCAAAAGGGGGATCATGTGCCAAGTCACAGGGGCATAAGAGAATCCCAAAGTTTTAAAAATTGCAAAAACCTATAATGCTTCACTTGTATATTTCCTTTTAATTGGCAGACAATGGTTAAGTTTAGTGTGAATTTTAGCTTTACCATATGAGTCAGATGTAATTATTGATGAAGATCTTCTGATGACCCACAGTTGCTGAAAATATTTGATTTTGTATCCCGATCCTTTGAAACACCAAGGACCTGCATCCACTACAATAAGAACAACGTTTAACCAAGTTAGATTAGAATATACAGAGGGTCTCGGGTACCCTACCTATTTATTAGCTGTATTGTCCCGAATCTGTTGGGCTGTGACAGCCTCTGGATCCTTTTGGAAGGTCTTCTCATCAGTACAGGAAAAGAGATATCCCAGACTGCCGACCCTCTGCCGCAGTTGTAGTAATACTGAGCCCTGCACGTTGTGGAGAGAAAAGAAGTGAGTGAAATAAGCATGAATTCAAATTATCGCTTGAATTCAAACATTGATACCCCAGGTCTAGGGGAGTGGGTATGACAGTTTATTTCTTTACTGCTGAGCTATTATCGACATGGGAAGAAATTAGAAATGGTTACAGCCATCGAGTTTTCAGCCGCCTTCTAATACCCTATTCCTAGCAGAAAATGTACCACAATAGATAAATTGCATCTTTTAAATAGACCCGAATATAAACTAATTAAAAGAGAAAATTTGCTGCTTTAAAACAAAATAATTTATTTAACATCTACATAGATAATTTAAATATTTTTACTATATCTTTAGTTAGTAGAATTGTATTGATGTTTTTCTTTGTGAAAAAAAGAACTCTGAGTTTAGGAATAAATTCTACTTGATCATGGTATGTAGATTATTTCATCATTATTAGGTTTTGTAAACTAAGATTGTTTAAATACTATTTGGGATAAATAGTAATATTGTTCTTCATTAGTGGGAAAGGAAGTGATATTGGCTACTTTGTCCCTGGTGTTAACTCAGATTGCAGTCCCACTTCTGCTTCTGTTATTTTCCAAAAAGCCTCTGCTTCGTTAACATATTCATGGTGTGGGTCTGCCCCATCTGCCCAGGCTGCCTGCTGGTTGCTAGTGTAGGCCTGGGTATGTGTGTAAGCCTGTATCTCCCTCCTTTGCTTGTGGCCATCCAGCCTTGAGACCTGTCCATACACACTTCTGCTTTCAGAGGGCTTCTGGCTGTCCTGCCCACGCTCCACTGCCTGGCTGCACTGACTCAGCCACCCTCACCACATGCGCAGCCAAACTCACACAGGAGGAACCTCCTGCACTTACCTGGGACTAGCCTTTGGCAGGAAATGGCAGTTCTGTTTGGGAATCAATCGGAGCTAGAGAAGGAAGGGATGGTTTTGAACAACGGGGCACTTCAGAGAGATCAGAGTCAGAAAAGGAGTGGGAGGAAGGAGTTATTAGGCAGCCAATGAGCAGCACAAAAGCAAGATGTTTTGCAGAGGAGGGCAAAGGGCAGAGGCCCAGGCAGTGGATGAGAGATACAAAAAGGAAGATGAGAGGACACCAGAGACATAACTCAATTATTCAACATTCTGGTAAGTCAAAACATTATAAGATATAATACATGTCTGCAATAGCTAAATATTAGATCCTACTCTGGAAAAGTTGTACTGTAGCATCAGATTGGAAACATATAAAATCCCTAATCCTCAATAAATTTTGACTACAAGACTATTCATGGCTTTAGATAAAAGGGCTGGGTTCAGTGTTCATTTTCCTAGAGACTCCTGATAAAATAACCTGCTAACATGCAATACTAACCTGTTAGGTACATATCTGAAGGAAACCTTCTTGGGCTGGGCAAGGCTCTCGAGTCTTTTGGTCAGCTGACTCTTCAAAGCACTATGGCTAATAGGGCGAATAGGATCTTGATTTCCCCAAGACAGCTTTCTGTTAAAAAGCAGAAAAATAAAATGGAAAGAAATTCACTGTTAATGACATCTTAGGCTGCCTCTCTATTGGTGTTACTTCAGTTTAAGAATTACCCCAGGCATCAGAAGTGGATAAACTACTCATGTCAGTTGAAATAAAAAGAAAATCAGACTGTTTTATCTGCTGTCTTAAAATGTAGTGACCAAAAATGAACCGATCAGAGGTAGACAGTTCTGTGTCTGCCATAACGTAATTAACACTGCAACTTATAGTCAGGTTGACGTAAAATGGTCATGCCACTTCTCTACACTGTGCTCTCACTTTGGGTGATGAACTGTACCAGGTGTAAAAAAAAAATAAGAGTAATGCCCGGCTGGCATGGCTCAGTGATTGAACATCATCGACCTATGAACCAGGAGGTCATGGTTCAATTCCCGATCAGGGCACATGCTCAGGTTGCCTGCACGATCCCCAGTGTGGGGTGTGCAGGAGGCACCATTGCCAGAGTGATCTTCCTCAACTCCAATCTGACCAAGTCATCCGCTTGTTTGAGATACCTCAAAGGTTTCCATTTGCTTTAGAATAAAGCCCCAGCTCCTTACAGTGGTTTACATGTCCCTCCACAATTTTGACAAGGAGCACCTTCTCCTCCAGCCTATATATTTTTCCAGCAGAGAGACCGTGTCTTAATCTTTTGGAGATTTCCCCTTGCATAGTTTAGTGCTGCACACCGTAGATGCTCAATCCTGGTTTGATGAATGAACAAATGGTGAAACCTGGAAACTCACCTAATGGTGATGTGAAACAGTAGAGAGGAGAGAATGACATTGGGGAGATAAGAGGCTAAAGCAGAAGCTTGTGTTCTCGGTTGGTGGAAGTGGTGAGGGACCTCTCTGGACTCTCTTTTATAAGGGCACTAGTCCCATTCATGAGGACTCCACCCTCATGATTTAATCACCTCTCAAAGGCTCTCACCTCCAAATACTATCACATTGGGGATTAGATTTCAAAATATGAATTTTGAGAGGACATAAACATTCAGTCAATAGCTGAATGCTCTGATAAAAGAACTTGTATTCAAAAAATACAAAAGAACTCTTAAAATTCAGCAATAGAAAATAAACATCCCAATTAAAAAGTGGGCAAGCCCTGGCCAATGTGGCTCAGTTGGTTGAGCGTCATCCTATGCACCCAGAAGGTGCTGGTTCGATTCCCAGTCAGGGCACATGCCCAGGTTGCAGGATCCCCAGTAGGGGGTGTGCATTGTGCATGAGGCAGCCAGTAGATATTTCTCTCTCACATCAATGCTTCTCTCTCTCTCTCTCCCTCTCCCTTTCTCTCTCTATAAAAGAAGAATCAATAAAAACATATTTTTTAAAAAGTGGGCAAAAGATATGAACAGACACTTTACCAAAGAAGATATAAAGATGGCAAATAAACATATGAAGTATGTTAACATCTCATTATGAATTGCAAATAAAACAACGAGATGTTATTACACACCTATTAGAAGGGCTAAAATACAAGAGACTAACAACACCAAATACTGGTGAAGATATGGAGGGACAGGGATTCTCATTAATTGCTGGAGGACATGGCACAGACATATTGGAAGAAAGTTTGGCAGTTTCTTCCGAAGCTGAAGATATTCTTACCATATGATCCAGCAGTTGCACTCCTAGGTATTTAGCTAAATGAGTTGAAAACGTATATATACAAAAAACCTGCACACAAATGTTTATAGCAGCTTCATTCATAATTGCCAAAAATTGGAAGCAACCAATATGTCCTTCAATAGATGAATGGATATGTTTTGGTACATCAAAGCAATGGAATATTAGCACTAAAAATAAATATCAAGGCATAAAAAGACATGGAGGAACTTTAAATGCCTATTGCTAAGTGAAAGAAGCCAGTCAGAAAAGGTTACACACTGTTTGGTAATAATTATAACATTCTGGAAAAGGCAAAACTATACATACAGGAAACAAGATCAGTGTTTGCCAGGGGTTTGGAGAGGGGAGAGAGAATGAAAGAAATGAATAGATGGAGCACAGGTAATTCTTAGAGCAGTGAAACTATTCTGTATAATGCTGCAATGGTGGGTACATGACAATATGCACTTGTCAAAACCCATAGAACTGTACAACTTAAAAGTGAACCCTAACGTTATTAGTTAATAATAATGTCAGCATTTGTTTATCAGTTGTAACAAATGTACCACACTAATGCAAGATGTTAATAATAGTGGAAACTAGAGGAGTGGGTGGTAATATAGAAACTCTCCCTGTACTTTTGCTCAATTTTCCTGTAAAGCTAAAACTAATTTTAAAATAAAGTCTATTAATTTTGTCAAAAGCAATAGGAGCTCAGAAAAAAAGGGGGGGTGGAAGTCAGGCTTTCTTCAGAGTCAGCGAAGGAAAGGGGGAGTCATGTGGCCAAGGATGGAAAGACAGTGGGTTCAGCCTGTTGGGGACCCAGAGAACAGGTGTGCTCTGGACAAAGGCGTAGAGACAGCAGGACCAGCTGTTAGAGCAGCAACCTGGAGGATGGGCACAAGAGTTTCAAAGGCATATAGAGTAGCACCCAGGGATGGTGGTTCTCAAGCCTGTTTGCCTACGAGAATTACCTGGGAGCTCTTGACAGTCCCGACACCTACGCTGCACCCCAGTCCAAGCAAGTCTGGGACCCAAACATCAATTCACTTTTTTAATTTTTTTTAAGTTTTGTTTTGCTTTATTTCTCTAGGAAATAGCAGAAATAACAATAATGATAGCAGCTCAAGATATTGAAATATCATTCCTTGGTCATTTGAAAAGTATCATTTCACCAAGTTATGCAGATCTTCCAAATATTTACACATTTCATTATACAATATCAAACAATCACATTGGTTAATATCACCACCACCCACAATGTTGTATGTGTTGTGAGGTTATTTTTATCATTACTTTTCTATTGTAAGAATATGCCACAAATTCTTTGTCTTTTCACTTATTGAAGGACATTTGAGTTGTTTTGAGATTGATGCTATTATGAAGTGGCTGTGACCATTCATGTAGAAGTCTTTGTGCAGATATATATATTCGTCCCTCTAGTAATCACATCTCTCCAAAACTTTTTATTTTCAGTCTTTTTTATTTTAGCCATTGCAGTTCATGTGAAATGTTATGATTGTGCTGATTTGCATTTCCTGGGTAACTAATAATATTGACCATCTTTTCATGTGCTTGTTGGCTATTGGCCTATCTCCTTTTGTCTAAGTCTTTTGTCTACAGGTGATTCTAATGTGCAGATAAGTCTGAAAACCACTGATTTAGGGGGTTTGCCTTCCATATGTTGACTCAATTGAGATGATAGTATGGGTCCAATGGATCCAATTGAAAAGAGAGGTGGATACACCTAGGATGCGGGGTTCTTGGGCAGGTAAGAATACTTACTCTTTAATGTAAGGAATACATCATCAGAAGCAAAACTATATAATATTTCCTTACCTATCTGGGGTTCCCCACTGTTTTTTAGGCTTAGAAAGTTCTTGGAGTCTCTTCCTAGAAAAAGAACTAACAAATACCAGCTGATTAATTCAAAGAGAATTCAAATTAATAAATATGGTTACATTAGATGACTTCTACTCAAACCCCATCTGAAGGAGAGAACAAAACAATATCCTATTTGTTGTAATTTTTAAAAATATATTTTTATTGATTTTAGAGAGAGGAAGGGAGAGGGATAGAGAGATAGAAACATTGATAAGAGAAAAACATCAACATCAATCAGCTGCCTCCTGCATGCCTCCTACTGGGGATTGAGCCCCAAACCCAGGCATATGCTCCAACCGGGAATCAAATCATGACTTCCTGGTTCATGGGCTGATGCTCTACCACTGAGCCACACTGGTCAGGCCTATTTAATGTAACTTGAAGAATGCTAAAGAGCTCAAAGTATTTAAAAATATTGTGGACCCAAATTTCTCACTTATAGAATTATTAATAATATAGTACATAATGAGACAAAGATAATAAATACATAAAAAAACCAAGAGTATACTGTCTCCAAAGGGCCCCAGGTAAAATAATTGCACACTTGTTAATGGGGAAAAGCCTCAATTCACATATTAAAGTAATTTGTAAATGGCTTTACGGCATTGGATTCTGAAGAGATTGTGCAGATAAATTTCAGATTGATTGTCTGACTTTGGGAAAACTATGAAATAGGCAAAATATACTTTTGGTACCACTTCTCCCCCTCCCTTTCTTCCCTATGCAGCTGCCTTGGACCTTCCTGATTGTTCTGAATTTACCTATAGAAGAGATAGTTTATGTTCCCAAACATCCATGTGTTCCTGTACATTTCCCAGTCTCCCTTGCAGCTTAGAGCCATGTGCCTAGTTATGTCTTACTTCAGCACAAGTGTTCAGTATCACTTCCAGAGCAATGTATTTAAGAAGTAGAATGCCTCCTCCATTTCTCTCTTTCCCTGTTGCAATGACCCTGGAAGCCACATATTCTAGATGGCATATCTACAAGACAGAGGAGGGTCAGCCAGCTCACAGTGGATTGTGACCTGAGGGAGAAATAAACTCTTACTGCATTGTCATTGAGAGTTTTGTGGCTTATTTGTTACTGCAGCATTGCCTATATACTATGCAGACTAATATATCACCTATGTTACTGTAGTTCATATTATAATTATTTATGTACTTGCTTGCAGTTTAAAGGGCCCAATATATAACAACGCTTTATTGCCTTCCACAATTAGGAACTAACTAAAAAGCAGGCCCTCTTTTTTATTTTTATTTTTTAAATATGTTTTGGTTTGACTTTAGAGAGAGAAGAAGGGAGAGGGGAAGAGAGAAACATCAATCAACTGCCTCCTGCACACACCCTACTGGAGATCAAGCCTGCAACCAGGGCATGTGCCCTGACCAGGAATTGAACTGGTGATGTCTTGGTGCATGGAACAACATTCAACCAACTGAACCACACTGGGCAGGCAGGATATGGCCTTCTTAATTAAATGGTTATTGATGCATCATGGAGTACCTTTCAGAAAGTGGGAGGAGGAAAAGAGGGATTAATAGGAACCCTCATGATTGCACATTCACAAAACTGGGCCATCCACCCTGAAGATCAAACTAAAATTCTTCAAATTACCTATTTCCATGTTACTCTCTGTTTATTTCACTTGCATTGTCCCTCAGCCTTTATTAATGACTTATTTGCCCCTTAACACCTTGCCTTAGCAGTACTAGGAGCATACTGTAAGTAAGGATTCCATGCACACAGCCGGCCACAGTATTAACAAAGGAACATTTCCCCTGAGGCCAGTGTGGTGGTGATAGCAACAATCAATCTTGGGGACAAGGAAAACTTGATCCAACAATTATTTTCATCTAAGAGGTTATTATTCCAGTACCAACACTGGGATTCTAGGGTTTATTATCCTAATATATAAAAACCCAGGGTCCATAACAACCAACTGAAGGCTCCACCTAACACCGGAAGTCAGTATTGCAGTCAGTGCTGGGTTGCCGATGGGGCTATGGATCAGGCCCGGAGAGAGAGGCAGGGTCTGATCCGAAGCCTCCATGGCAGGTGTTGATCAGCCGTTGCCTCTCTCTTTCTCTCCAGACTTCGCCAGCAGACGCACCTCTGTTTCTCTCCGGGCCTCCGCAGGAGCTGCTGATCAGCCCCACCTCTCTGATCAGGCCTGGAGATATGCCCAGAGATGCTGACTGGCATAGAAACCGACCAATCAGAACCAAATCTGGATGAACTGTGAGGAGCCAATGGCTGCCTAGGAGGCAGAGCTTTTGACGCTGACTGGCATAGAAACTGACCAATCAGAACCAAATTGGCTGGCAGGGGAGGGCAGTTGGAGGCAAGATCAGGCCTGCAGGGGAGGGCAGTTAGTGGTGATCAGGCAGGCAGGCAGAGAGGTTAGTGGTGATCAGGCAGGCAGGCAGAGGGGTTAGGGGCAATCAGGCAAGCAGGCAGAGGCAGTTAGGGGTAATCAGGCAGGCGGACAGGTGAGCAGTTAGGTGCCAGTAGTCCCAGATTTCGAGAGGGATGTCCGACTACTGGTTTAGGGGTCAGGCCTAAACCGGCAGTCAGACATCCCCCAAGGGATCCCTGATTGGAGAGGGTGCAGGCTGGGCTGAGGGAACGCCCCCCCCCCCCGTCTGTGCACAAATTTCGTGCACCAGGCCACTTGTCTTAAAATAAAGTGCCAACTTTCTTATTCCTGAGAAAGTTACTAAGTCCTCTGAGCTTTAGTTCATTCATTCAATAAACTAAAGGCCCAGTACACGAATTTGTGCACCAGTGGGGTCCCTTGGCCTGGCCTGCAGGGATCAGGCCAAAACCAGCTCTCTAACATCCCCCAAAAGGTTTTGGAGTGCGAGAGGGCAGTTCTTGGGTGACGCACCTGGAATCAGGCTCCCTCCTCTCTGGGTTCTGGGTGCGTCACCTGAGAACCGCAGCTGGCAAGTCACCGCAGCTCGGCAGCTCCTGTGTTGAGTGTCTGCCCTCTGGTGGTCAGTGCACGTCATAGCTACCAGTCTGATGGTCCAATGGTCGGACGGTCACGTAGGCTTTTATATAGAGAGATATTTATTGAGTACTTACTATGTACAAAGTAGGGTTCTAGGGCTGAGCGTACCTTGGTGAATAAAACAGACAAAAATCCTTGCTCTCATGTCAGGACAGAAAGACAACAAATGAAATAAAGTAGATACAAAGTGTCCTTAATTTAAAAAAATTAATCAATGTAATTTTATAAACAACAACAACAAAATCTTTCCAACCCCATGACTGTGGTAGTGGATAGAGGTAACCAAAAGATTATTTGGTGGTGAAACATTTGGAGATCTGCTATCCCCAAGCCATACATGTTAATATCTAGAAAAAATGAAGGGGGGAAAATCTACATCCTTATTCAATAGAGGAATGGCTTCACCATTCAGGTACCGCACAAGCCTGTGAAATAGCCTGAGCTAACTTACCAAGGAGGTGGCTCGATGCACGGAAAAAAGAGTTGCAGACAGAATATCTTATTGTATATTAATCTTTTCAAGCAAGTTAGACTCTGGCTTCCATCATCACCTCCAAGCCAAGATTTCCCTAGCAACCTTTTCTTCACCTGCTAAAAATGTTTTTTAATGCATCATTTTATATAAGAGCATTAATATTTTTCTAATTTATTCCTATAAATACTTAAATGGGGTTTTTATTTCAATTAGAAACAATCTCATTAACATTTGCCAATTCTGTTGAAGATCTAACACCTCCTTTCCATTCACTTATTGTGCATCATGTCACCATAGCTACATCTCCAGCCTACATCGCCTCATCTTAACACATCTTAACTCCCGGCTTCCTGGGAGTATGTCATAACCTCAAAATGTCCAGTCATGATCTTTCGCAGAAACAAAAGAATGTGGTTGAAGAATTTTAACTCTCAAAGGCAGATTTTTTTTTTAATGAGGACTACATTGCTGTCTCTGTTTTCATTGATAATTAGTCTCCTATGGTTTCCCAATAGCTAAAAATGTTTTTGAAATCTTTACCTTGGGTGCAAAGTAATAAATATATGTTTATATAGCAACAATTATGGAAAAGATTTCAGGTCTGAATTGATGGGGTAATTCAGATAATTTTTTCTTGCATTAAAAATACTCTTTTACATTTAACTATTTTGCTTTATAGTCAGAAAATATTTTCTTTCATTACAATCAGGCACAGCACACTTCCCTAAGAAAAATTTTTTAGAGCATGGGGACAGGGATAGATAAATGGAGATAGCACAATTTCCTCATCAAATCAAACCAAATTAACCCAAAACAAAAGCAAGAAGCAGTATAATAATCATAATCAGAATTATAACAAAAACATTAAAAAACACTCTCTAAACAGTCTTTTTTTTAAGTATAAACACTTAGGAGGTAAACTATTTCACTGTCTATGTAGCCACAGGAGTTTGCTCACTCGCATACATTTATATGAGTAATGTGCTATTTTGAGCGCACACTCGTTAACACTCAGTAAACACTCCACCAGCTCTTCTGCTTAGCCTCCATACAACCTTGGGAAAGTGACATAATTTCTCTCAATGTAATCTAGCTGGTTATATCCACACTATCGACTTCTCAGGATTCTTGTGGGGGGGGAAATTTTTTTAACTGCAAAGTGTTACAAAAGAATAAAGTAGCAGTGTTTACTGCCTAGAAGAGGTGAGAAAAACAATAACTAGTGTTTACTGCCTAGAAGAGGTGAGAAAAACAATAAACAAAATCTTTCCAACCCCATGACTGTGGTAGTGGATAGAGGTAACCAAAAGATTATTTGGTGGTGAAACATTTGGAGATCTGCTATCCCCAAGCCATACATGTTAATATCTAGAAAAAATGAAGGGGGGAAAATCTACATCCTTATTCAATAGAGGAATGGCTTCACCATTCAGGTACCGCACAAGCCTGTGAAATAGCCTGAGCTAACTTACCAAGGAGGTGGCTCGATGCACGGAAAAAAGAGTTGCAGACAGAATATCTTATTGTATATTAATCTTTTCAAGCAAGTTAGACTCTGGCTTCCATCATCACCTCCAAGCCAAGATTTCCCTAGCAACCTTTTCTTCACCTGCTAAAAATGTTTTTTAATGCATCATTTTATATAAGAGCATTAATATTTTTCTAATTTATTCCTATAAATACTTAAATGGGGTTTTTATTTCAATTAGAAACAATCTCATTAACATTTGCCAATTCTGTTGAAGATCTAACACCTCCTTTCCATTCACTTATTGTGCATCATGTCACCATAGCTACATCTCCAGCCTACATCGCCTCATCTTAACACATCTTAACTCCCGGCTTCCTGGGAGTATGTCATAACCTCAAAATGTCCAGTCATGATCTTTCGCAGAAACAAAAGAATGTGGTTGAAGAATTTTAACTCTCAAAGGCAGATTTTTTTTTTAATGAGGACTACATTGCTGTCTCTGTTTTCATTGATAATTAGTCTCCTATGGTTTCCCAATAGCTAAAAATGTTTTTGAAATCTTTACCTTGGGTGCAAAGTAATAAATATATGTTTATATAGCAACAATTATGGAAAAGATTTCAGGTCTGAATTGATGGGGTAATTCAGATAATTTTTTCTTGCATTAAAAATACTCTTTTACATTTAACTATTTTGCTTTATAGTCAGAAAATATTTTCTTTCATTACAATCAGGCACAGCACACTTCCCTAAGAAAAATTTTTTAGAGCATGGGGACAGGGATAGATAAATGGAGATAGCACAATTTCCTCATCAAATCAAACCAAATTAACCCAAAACAAAAGCAAGAAGCAGTATAATAATCATAATCAGAATTATAACAAAAACATTAAAAAACACTCTCTAAACAGTCTTTTTTTTAAGTATAAACACTTAGGAGGTAAACTATTTCACTGTCTATGTAGCCACAGGAGTTTGCTCACTCGCATACATTTATATGAGTAATGTGCTATTTTGAGCGCACACTCGTTAACACTCAGTAAACACTCCACCAGCTCTTCTGCTTAGCCTCCATACAACCTTGGGAAAGTGACATAATTTCTCTCAATGTAATCTAGCTGGTTATATCCACACTATCGACTTCTCAGGATTCTTGTGGGGGGGGAAATTTTTTTAACTGCAAAGTGTTACAAAAGAATAAAGTAGCAGTGTTTACTGCCTAGAAGAGGTGAGAAAAACAATAACTAGTGTTTACTGCCTAGAAGAGGTGAGAAAAACAATAACTAGAATGCATAATACATAGAAAATACAAAATAAGTAAATAATAATAACAAATATGAATGGTTTAACTCACTTATTAAAAGAGTGGATAGAAATAAAATCTGGTGTTATTTATTTCTCATCTATATGAACCATTGATATGAACCCTTGCTTTTTCTCTTTAATGATTCTATTCTTGATACCTCTTCTAACTATATCTTAGCCAAACCAAGAATAAACATCTATTTTCAAGAGGCATCTATTTTATATGTCATATATATACTTTTTTAAAAAATAGGGGACATTTTCTTGAAATTTCACTAGTTATTGTGCTTGAATTAGATGTTAGGGGAGTGGAATACATTGACCTGGAGCTTCATAAAATCTATGATATGAAATTGTCAACGCAGAATCCCAAGTCCCTCAAAGGTCCAGACCTGGTAAGTAACACCTAGTATTTAGCAAGCAAGCAAAACACTGACTAGAAGGAGAGTTCTCCTGCATCTCAATATTCTCCCCCATTCTTACTTCTTAATCACTTTCTTCCTCTGCTTTCTGTTTCCTACAGGAATTGTCATTAGAAAAGGGCTTTATGCCCTGACTAGTTTGGCTCAGTGGATAGAGCGTCAGGCCATGGACTGAAGGGTCCCAGGTTCGATTCCGGTCGAGGGCATATTCCTTGGTTGCAGGCTCGATCCCCAGTAGGGAGCATGCAGGAGGCAGCTGATTGATGTTTCTCTCTCATCTATGTTTCTAACTCTCTATCCCTCTCCCTTCTTCTCTGTAAAAAATCAATGAAATATATTTTGAAAAGAAAAGGGCTTTATGACAAAGGGAAAACACGGGAATCCTCTCAAAAACCCCAAGCTAGCTTTTCACTTCAGATGCCCCTGAATGAGTTTGCCCCATCCAGCTAGGCTGGCCCACTAGTTTGAGTCTGGAAAAATAGTACTGTAACTGTAGTCTTACCTTGTCCTTGCATACTCATAGTAACCTTGATCTGCAAAAAAGAAAAGTAAAAGCAAAAATTAGATTCAATAAGAATCAAAGATATAAAGATAGCATCACAAATCAACAGAAAAAGGAGCTAGGAAAATATAACTATTTAGGAAAGTGGTCAAATTAAATATGACACAGTATGTACCAAAATAAACCACATCAGCTAATAAATCACAATTGACAAGTTAAATATATTTTTAATTGAATTAGAGCAAAAATAAGAGACTATCTACTTAATCACTGGATTTTAATATGAGTTAAAGGCGACAAAAGACCAGAGGAAATTATAGATTAAAATATTTGAAACTTCTGTATGTCAAAAATTAAAACTTGAAGAGGAAATAAAAATTTGGAGAAGTATTTGGCAACAAATATGATAAAGGCTTAACAATTTTAATATGTGAGGAGCATTTACTATTCAAAAGTATAGTAGAATAAGAAAAACACTAAGGTAGATGTTAAAAGTTAACTGGACAAAGGATAAAATTGAATTTATATATGAATTCATATATAAAGGGCTAATAAATGTAAGAAAGTTCAAACTTATAATCAGAACAGTAATATGAAAAATGAGGTAGTTTTTAAACTATAAAATTTTTTTTGCAAAGGATAACAATGCTGGAAGGATGAGATGAAGTGAGCACTCTTGTGGACTACAGATGGAAATTTAAATTAGTACACTTCATAAAATTTAACTTGGCATGCCCTAAGAGATTTGGCTCAGTGGGTAGAGTGTCGGCCTGTGGACTGAAGGGTCCCCCGGTTCGATTCCAGTCAAGGGCACATGCCCTGGTTGTGGGCTCGATCCCCAGTAGGGGGCGTGCAGGAAGCAGCCAATCAATGATTCTCTCTCATCATTGATGTTTCTATCTCTCTCTCCCTCTTCCTTCCTCTCTGAAATCAATACAAATATATTTTTAAATACATAAATAAATAGGAGAACCAAGATGACGGCGTAAGGTACAGACCTGTGCGTGCTGCCTCCCACAACATTGAAACTACCAACTATAAGACAAACAGCTATCATTCAGAACCATGGGAAAGCTGGCCCAGTGGAAGCTCTACAACTGGAAGGAAAGAAAGAAGAGCATGGAGACTGAGTAGGATGTGCAGAGTCGCCAAGAGCAGAGGTACGGAGTCGCGCGCCAGGTGGCTGCAACTGGATGCGCGGTTTTTTTCAATCGGAAGGGGTTACAAACTCTCCAATCCACTGAGCTTGTTTGGGGCGGGATTCTGAGGTCCCAGACCCCTACAGGGAGA